AGAGGCCTAATTAGATACGCACACTCAATCCCAAGTTGACCCAACGCAGAGCGACTGTTGACGGAACGGATGTCTAGACCATCATTATCAGAGTCTGGGCTTGGACACTAGGACTCAGAGTTAGATGGAGCTCTCCTTGGAAAACCCACCGGTCCGCGCTTTAAGGAGCTGCCTTATGAGACTCTACGTTTCCACAACTATGCACTCTGGAGAAAGCTTGATCAACATCCTTCAGCCGCGTTCTTCACGAAGGGTGTGTATCCACAATAGAATAATCCATGTTCTATCCAGAGACTGTTACCCCCAGGCGAAAAGTGAGCAGTAGCTACAACTTGCGCTTTTGAATGAACGGAACAGCGCATTGTTATTAGCGCGCGCCCAAAAACAAGAAGAACGTATGCTTAGGGTGGTTTTCGCTATCTCGACTCGGTGTCAGCTAGTTTAACTGAACTCAAGGATAGGGTACAAGGATAATGAGGAGGGATGCGTAATTTAAGCTACACTCGGGACTTGGGTAAATCATCGAGTAGACGAGAAGCATGGCCGGTGAGGGCTTGTGATAAGATGTGGTCTCGAGAAGGTGCCACCCAACGCAAACGACAGTCCCTCCTATGGCTATTCTGAAGGAAACGACATTAATCAGCGGAATGAAGGACTTCTGAATCCATGAAGAGGCAAGATACTCTCCTCAGAGCTCAAAAACCTACACTATGGCAGAAGGGAACTGAGAGGACCATGGATTGCAGGGCCTACGATGATAGACGTTATGTTATTGTCACGACACGCATCGATACGCTCGATAGCAGCACTGAGGGGGAATATCAGGAGGAGTAGGCCGACAGCAGCTGGAAAATCCTGAACATATCAAGGTTACTTCCAAGGCTGAGAAGAGGAGTACCTCTTTATAAGTGAGCAGCCTTTTAGTGAGCTTGTTGAGAGGATCGATCCACGTTGGCTCGTCATCATGGCAGCTCAATCTGCTTCCATCGACGAGATCGACAAGACGATGAATGGCTCGCGATAAGGGGAGGAGACACTCGCATGATGATGCTGTCCGACCTAACAAAAGCGTTTAATCTACAGCAACTCTTTTGGTGAATCGATAGTAGCAGTAGTATCCTCGATGGCTCATAGCCTAACGTCATCCCTTAAAGATGTTCAATGCAATCACGGAAGTCTAAATTCTCCAGGAAGGTCTGACCGGTAGCGAGTTGTCCACCGAGCTCCGAGTCGATGGCAGTATGTATCATGAGAACGTCAATAACGGCGTTGATGAGGACGTCTTGTACAACAGCAGCATCTCCTGATACTTCGATGAGCAGCTCAGTGATGAGGAGTTGTTGCTCGACCTGATTGGATAAAATTCCTCGAGTTTTAACGAAAGTGGGGTCTCCCCCAGAGACCTGCCACTGACCGTAACTGGCGTGTCTGCGCCGCTTCCACACAGCAACTGGGCTACTCCAATGGCCCAGCGTTTGAGCCTATCGTTGGCATCAGATTCAGTTGATATCTCTCTTATCACACTGAGAGCTTCTCGAGCTTGCGAAGGAAAATATTGCGGCCTGAGTGGCAGTCTCGACCATCCTCTCGTGCAGTAGGCTACTTCAGTATACTCTAATCCCCCATCAAATAACGTTTCATAACAACAACGTACCGGATGTGCTCCAACTGATGATCATTGAGTTTGATATCGGGTGGTAGGATATGCAAGGCCTTTGTATACTCTAGAAGAGTCTCTAAGAAGTCCTCTATGATGCTGTAAGGACCCTCTCTGTAAATGATGATGTTTATTATTATTATGTCTCCTCCTCCTCCTCCTACATTAGTCGTATTTTATTGCCTCTTCCCATAAGCCTTCGTAATGCCCCTTTACAATAGACAACCAATTTCCTATTGTTTTCTATATTGGTTGAATGAGGAGAAGATGTCATTACAATGTCTGACTGCGGGGCGGCTATGCCATAGCTCGAAGATATGCCTTAGTATAATTGATTCCGTCAGCATGACCGGAGTAACTCACATACCGACACGTGTGACATGGTAGATTATACGAGTCACAAGTGAAACAGTCAGTTTTTTACCGAGTAATACACCAATTAACGTGAAACGGGGGAAACTCCATTGAACAACCTTAACCAGAAATGATTTCAAATCCACGTCTCTACGATCCATAGTCGAAGTCTATATCATCGGAATCCTTCCTGGGTATGCGGATACTGTTTGCAGAATCATAAAACAGCTCATTCTGGCATTGTCAAGCTAAGTGGCAGATTTCGTTCATTACAGAGAGCGTAATCAATAATGCTGCGGTTATGTGTGAGGCGCGAAAGATCGAGATATCATGCATAATAAATATGATTAATCGTGCGAAATCGCGCGTAAAAAATGGTTTTTTTACTCAGAAGCGATTCCTACAACATTTTTACTAAAAATTTTTCTAGCCAGGAGAACAAACATCAACGGGCCTACTTCATAGGAGCAAATTGCGCCTCAAACTTAAGCTACACCAAAAGTGTACCTTGAGTAACTCCTCAAGCTGCTCCTGGATTTGAGGCTCCTTAAATTGAGTATCCTTGTGAAACAGTCCCTACGTTTAAGAGTCTCATTATTGCAGGGAATGAGGAAGTGTGAGTATGGTGTGAGATTGAACGGGGCACAAAGTTATATGATGTTTACGCAGTAGACAAGGTTAGTTGTGGGTGCCGCAATGACCGTTTCATGTGGCGCACTACGCAAGATTCTTCGTGACAGTTAGAGTGGAGATCATCGATTGACAGGTTATCGTGAATTTTGTCCATAACCCATTCGATTGTCTTGTGAGAAGCTTTCACCTCGGCCTCCGCTGTTAACGTTATTTTAGCCCGCCCTCCCACGCCACGGTGGAGATGATGCACGAGTTTGCTTTTAGCTGCTCGGCTCGTGGTCACCTCGCAGTACAGGCTCATAGACCTCACCATACCTACGGCCCTACCCTGGAACTGGACGTCGGTGGTCTACGACCTCCGTCGAGATAGTCTCCGGTTCCTGGTTTACGGGCCGCAGGTTTGCAGTCTGGTGTTTCGGTCTGGCCTTCTGCTGCGCTCACCCGAACTCTGTATTTTTAGGAAATGTGCGGCTTCCCCAACTAAACACACACGACAACACTTAGAGAAAAATAGACCGTGAGTCAGTAGAAAAAATTGTAGCGATATTTTCCTGACTGAAGTGCCTATAAATGCTGACTCAGCGATATCAAATGAGATTGATATTCTTCAGGGATTTAATCTCAATCATATATTTTCTCGGCTTACATCCACAGAACGTCCTTGCGACTATTCCTTTCCTCAGTGTCAGTGCTTTCTCTCCCCATCAACATAGTGTTCTGTTGATACCAGTGAATCACAGGCTCAGATCGGCCAACGTATACGAATTTAGAAATACCCTCCGCCCTATGGAGCTGGGGCTTCAAATAAGTGGTGGCATCAACAGATCGGAAATGGAAGGCCACACAGGAAAATGTAGGGCCATAACCCGTAACCGTGCCGAAAAGACTGAGCAAACAATGCTCCAGGATATCGGGACCGGATATCCGGGTGGAAAGACAGGTGCCAAGCACAGAACAAATCGTTCACGTGTCACTATCGTCTACGCGCACAACATCGCCCCGATGCTGTGCAGGTGGACAAACACGACCCTCAGACTTGGAGTGGGATCGGCACATAGCCGTTTTTGGCATGAATCGGCTATCATGCTACAGCCGACACTTGTAATCGTGAACATGAATCCGAGGGAGTTATGAAGATACATTTTTCACTTTGCTGTGGGTTACAGGTACTTGACCACGCACGTATGTACAATCCGGTGTGAATGGGACCAGAAGCAATCGCATGTAACACTGTGTTGGTAGCCTCCGGACTCTGAGGTGACAAACTCGACATGTAAAGAGTGATTAACTTGTAAAGATATCTAGAGGGCTCCAAGCCACACAACCCGTCTCGTCTCCCAGTCCCCCTGGTGACCGCGTCACGTGACGTGACATAGCTGGCTCCACGCGCCCGCCTCCTGGCGTGCACATGCGCTCGCCAGCTACACACTGTCAGCCTCCTACGTGGTGGAATGACTACACTTAGCGAGACTGTCCACTCTCTTACAATGTTTACATTCTACTATAGCCATATGTCGGTTAAGAGACTAGGATGAGTTACAAGTAGCTGAGGACTCCTCAGTGAGGAGAGACTTTTATACCCGAACTGATGCCTCCATGTGCTATAACAGTGTAAGTCGGTTTGGGGGTGTATTGCCATTACGGTCTCCGTAATACGGTGACATGCTTTATTTCACTCGTTAAAGTTATATCGTGTAGCGACTAGGAAATTGTCCGGTTTAATACCAGAACTTTCGGATCTCACGCGGCTCGGCTCATTCACGTGAAAGCTGCGTGGATTTCCCTCGCGAATTGCGGGCCCTGATGTAGTATTTCGACACAAGGTTGAGAGTCACGATGCATGACTCATGCAGAATGAGTATTCACTTTAGTACGTTCCAATGCCCTTGATGAAGCCGTGCGCCTACATCTTCGCATGCGTGATTGTTGGACAACTGACTGAGGCTGTGGTCCTCCATGAGAAGATGACCGTGGAGTATGTCTAATCACACATTATTGACCGTACTGTCACTCTTTTCCTAGCGATCCTCTGAGTCCTCATAGCGAGTCGCTATGTGGACTCAGATGTCGCTACTAGCGACTTTCGCAAACTCAACGAGCACTGGGAGAAGGGTGTATTCAGGTATCCCCCTAACCAGCTGTACGGCCCACTTTTTGCTAATAACACTTGCCCAACAGTGGACCGCATTAAACAGTACCCTGGCGTGTATTCTAAGGTAAGACAAACCTCTCTCCGAGGACGAACTACCGATTGAAACTCAACAGTTCGTGCAGTGCATAAATCCTTCATTTAGGGTCCTAGCTACTCGGTATGCATGCCGATCGTTCCCGTGGCAATGGAGTGTCCGTCTGCCCCAGCCAAGGGCAAACCCGTGCATGATGGGAATCTCCCACTGTGCGTGATTTCGTGTGAAACTGTAGGTCACCGGCGGATTTCTCAGTATCTTATAGTTCCTGTTGAAGCGGACTACTATCAGATCTGGATCACATAGTAGAGAGTATCTGGATAAAGTTTTGATCATTCGGGAATGCTACATGATGATTGTAGGGCTCCAAGTAGCTTCGCTTTATCGTGGGAGCTGCTACGTCGTGCCGCAAGGCTATTCTCTCCTCTTCTTAATCACAGCTGTTCATCACTCTTCAGAGGGCCGATTGTCAAGAGGGAGCTGCCTGCCTCAATACAGGGAAAACTAAGCTGTGCGCATTCTTTAACGCTCATGGTTAAGAATGTCAACCCTTCGCAGTTGGGAGCTTCTATTATTTGATTGGAAAATCTATTCTGATTCTCCAACATAACATATTTTCGCCGGCACTATTTTTTCGTCGCCATTGGCCATGTCATCGAGGAGTAGGAGTCCTGCGTGACTAAGTTCACTCGAAGCCTTTGGAGATTGAGTAATTTTCGACATTTTCCACTTTTTCCATGCTTGAGGCCTTCTGCAAGCTGAGAGTTGAGGGGCATCTCTAAACTTGCCTCTTTTGGGTTGTGATACGAGTTTGTTGAAGCCCCCCCCTGCCCGACAGCACGATAGCCCGACGTTTCAAGGGGTAGCGTTCGGTTCACCTGACTTTCAATACCTATCATCTAGTCAACCAAAGGTATCTGTTTGGTTGAGAGTTCTGTTCGTAATACGTTAATAAGTGAGTGAATCACTGGGAGTCCCAGTCACAGACAGCGTTCAGGCTAGCTGAATAACGCAACGAAGAGCTCATCAAGTTGCTGTTAGCCGCTGACTAGAATCTTCGCATTACGTCTGATCCAGCCGGTCACGGCGTTGGTCTAATAGACCAGGCCTATGAACTGACATACATATTGGGATTTTTTCAAAGATCGCGAAGTGGACTCGGGCGCTTGTTATCATAGCGAGTGCTATTTTTGAAAAATAATTTTCTATATCTGTCCTCCTTGGCCTGGTTGCAATTTTCGCCTTGGGATTCGCTCATGAACACTGACGGCTCAACAGCGTTGAGTACACCTGTTCAGTCCCTGGACACTATCAAGGTTATTATAACCTTCGTAAGATACATTCCGTAGATTATAATGTATCATCGGCGGAAGTGAACAGCAGGTCTAGAGATTCAAGTTCCGATGATGGGCATTGCTGGAGCCCACTTCAGTGGCCTTCAGATTCTGAACATTGAAGTTCAGAACATACTTGATGCGGTCTATCATAGTGATATACACACCGTCCCTGGAAATCTGCCTAAGATGCTTATCGGAACCGCAAGTACTCTTCACGGCATCATAACTCTCTTCCAACACTATGTGCTATACCGAGCATTGAGCCGTTATGAGCCGGTATCTCAACTGGTTGAGCTGGGTTCGCTGGACAGGCGAGGTCGAGCAGCAGTCAAAGTCTATCAGGGATCTCCTATGCCTCCAGATGATCCCATTTGAGCCCGTTGTTTCGTTATTCCGTTAAACGCGATATTCAATCATAGATGTAGGACGACGGCGTCGTCACGACGCAGTATTCTGCCACCAACAACACTGAGGACAGCTAAACTATAAATAATAAACTGATGAACAGTAAACTGCAGAGATAGCGATAAGGCGGCTAATTGAAGCAAAAGTAGTGCTTCTTCTACATTGAACGGATATGGCTCTTGAACTTTACGCACAATAACGCTGCGTTGCCTTGTGTGAGAGGTCAACACTGAAGCAGAGATGACGTTTCACAATACATCCAATAGCATCAAAAAAAGTTCAGCTCATCCTCCAAAAACAAGTATTTGCTCTCGTGAGCATCGGCTCGTGGAGAAGATAGAAAAACCCATGCCATGTAGTACGTGGCAAGTACTGATCGGTCCGATCAGATCGGACAAAATGAGGGTTGGGGCCCCAACTGGGGGGCATCTATAGTACTCCCAATGTGGTGGAATGCTCAACGGCTCTGAAGTGAACCACAAAGAACTTGACGATTCAGCTTTCATGATGAAAGTTTCATCAGGTATCAGGGTGAAAGTAACGACAATTACTAGTATCAGGAATCCTGATTCAGGATATCAGTACGAGTTAATAATTAGAACTTCAACTTCGTCATAGAACA